CTTAGAGTGCCTAATGCAGATTACAGGATGTTGCTTCCCCCATGCTTGAACTACATTTTGTCCCTAATGAGTTGCTAGTTTAGGAGAAGGCAGTGAACAAACAAAAACGAACATAACGGAAGATAAAATGGCAAAATAAAAATTTTAAATAAGGAAAATAAGACTCCCCTGTGTTTATCTATTGCGGGTTCGCATGGTTGATTGTCTAGTTTGGGAGATCAAGTGAGTCAAGGTGTCAAATTTCTCGTGCAATTCCTTTAAAGAGCGCTCCATGTTGTGCAAGTTGCCATTGGTTACGCGGATGTGCAGCAATGTGTGGTCCATGAATTCTTTAAAGTTAGGGGGTGGAGGAGCTAGGGCTGCCTATGTTTGGCGCTCGCACTGTAGATTCTTTTATCGCATGGTAAAGAGGTCTAGGTGGTGCAAAGCAGGGTCGGCCATCTTTCATTTCCAGGAGACCCATGTCATCTAAAGCCTGAAGATCCAAAGGTGCTTGAGGGCAGACAATGTGTAGATCTGTCTCATCGCCATCAAACTGGGTCGTGAAGGCGGCGATTTTGGTGATGACTGAGCCCAGGATTAACAGCCGTCGAGAGGAGATAACACTGGCGAACTAGGACGCAAACCAATACCCAAGGTTCACCCAGTGACATTTTGTCATACACCAAAGAAAATAGAGCTCTATTTTGGAGATGATGCTTAGTGCATCACTACAATCTAAGAAAGAGTAAGCCAAAAATCGATGAATGTATTTCATGCATTGGTCACACAAGTAAAGATATTTAGACTTGCTAAGGTTATATGCATTAGAGTAGTTGGAGCAGAGTATATCATAAGCAGTTTTTGGGTCAAAGTCTGCACAAAAATCGCAGTATGGGTGTTTTGCTTCCTGCTCGGAAAACCCCAATGCATCATTAAATTAAGCTATAAAAAGCCAAAAATGTCTGCCTTGGAGACAGTAGGAGATAAGATTCAAGGTGTGGAGATTGAACTTGACCCGCTTGTGAAAATAGAAGGTGGTGTAAAACTCCTTGACCAATTCAATGAATGCAGCAGGGGCATCAAACGTAAAGTCACCCCAGCCGGTGGTGTAGATAAGAGTCAAAACACCCGTTTTGATGCTGAAGGTGTCGAGAGTGAGATCTTGTATGGATTTACCTAGGACAACGTGTAGTTTCTAGATTTCATCATACCATGATTTCTCCTCATCATCTTCAAAGGTGAGATATTCTTGGAGGTTTGTTTTTACTGATTGGTGGATGGGTTGGCCTCGTCGGACTCAGGATCTCTTCAACGATCACTCTAGTTTGTTTTCTTCTGCATCGAGTTCTGGATAGAGGCCTAGAGTCGTTGGAGGGGGTTATCTGTTTTCGATCGTTTGACCTGATCCAACATTGGGAGTGGTTGTGTTGGTTGGCAGTGAGTGGGAGATACTGATGATGGGGTTGCCACTTGTAGAGCTACTCTTGTCAGTCTTCTGGACAGGTACGTTTGGTGGGGCTAGTTATGAGGCTCCTTCAATACGAAGGTGTGCGAATGGCCGAAGGCCGCTGGGTTTTTGAGCGGAATGCTTACGTCTTATTTTGGTGGCTGCTGAAGGTGGGTTGTGTGAGATTTATGGAGTAGGAGTAGGAAGGGAAAGATTGGAGGTTGAGAAAGTAGAGATAAAGGAGGTTAGGGTTTGATATCGGGGGAGGGTTTTTTTTTTAATTTCAAAGTGGTTGTTAGGTGTCAATAACTTAGGGTAGGGGAACTTGAAGTTCAGCTGATGGTAGCTTTTTTTGCTTTTTTGTTTTTTTTTATCATCTTTCACTGGTTGAGTTATAAGCCTAGGGTAAGGGTTGAGGTTGATATAGGTAGCATGGGCTAGTTACTAGCCTTGGGTCAGGCTTGTTTATGTCTAAAGAGGTCCTTTGGGAAGGCTTGCCCAAACCTGTCATGGTTGTGGGGATTCTCATCCCAAGGGTTATGTATGGTTTTGGGGCAGAGTGGTCTAGGATCTGTGCTGGACTATCCTGGTGCTCGGCTCCTCTTGTTTTGTCACCTTAATTCCCTATTCCTATGCCACAATCACAAATAGATGATAGTTAATTGACAAGAAAATATATTAATTTATCAAAGAAATTGAGAAATGAGTAGAAAATAGTAATAAAAAAAATGTGAATGGGTTGCCTCCCATCAAGCGCCTTATTTATTGTTCAGGTTAAACTTTCCTACTGACTGTCAATGAAGTGTCTCAAGGGGGTTGAGGGTTGTTTATTCAACGTTCCTTATGGAAAAGCCTTCGTAATAAGGTTTAAGGCGATGCCTATTCACCTTGAAAATTTTAGTTGTATCTAGGCTCTTAATTTCGACAGCGCCATGAGGAAATATGTTGGTGACAATGAACAGACCTATCCACCTTGACCTCAGTTTTCCAAGGAATAGCTTAAGTGGAGAATCAAAGAGAAGGACTTTCTGCCCAACTAAAAATTCTTTCTTGCAGAGTAATTGGTCGTGGAACACTTTTATCTTTTCCTTACAAATTTTGGAGTTCTTGTATATTATATTCTATATTTCTTCCAATTCCTGTAGCTGTAGCTTTCGATGGTCCCCAGCTTCCTCCGACTTCATGTTACAGCTTTTAATGGCACAATACACTTTGTGGTCCAGCTCAACGGGTAAGTGACAAGCTTTTTCAAAGATTAGGAGGTACAGAGACATTCCTATTGGCATTTTAAA